TAATGGGAGAAGCTAGATATGAATAGGGCCTGAGGGCATGTGAGAAATTATTGTAACTTCTGCTCAATTTTGCTGTGAACCTAAAAGTGCTCTATAAAATATACTGTATTTTAAAAATCACAGTTTAACTTAAACAAATTTAGTACTAACAGAATTTGAAGCATCCCTGAGAAGAATCTTTTAAATACTGCAATTTTGTGAGGGAAAAAATCTGTGTCATTCTGGATAATTTCTCTTAGAAGCCAAGCAGAAATCTTAGTTTTAAAAAGATAAATTAATTTCTGGTTCATTCATGCTTTATGAATGTAAAATTTGATGTTCAAATCGAGAAAAATATAATTAACCGTTTCTTCCAAGCATTTTGTGTGACAAAAAGTGTGACAGCATTTTGTTTCAAAGTTGATACTATTGAGGCAAATATCAAGAGAAGATGAGGAAGACATTCAGATTTAGCATTTATTAACATTATACACACTCCAACTAATCAGAAACTTTACTGGTCAGACCCTTCACATCCTTTTGGACCCAGAGGGTAGTTAGAGTTTCCTGAGACTGGAAAGTTCTTGGACCTCTCCTCTATAACTGCTGTGCAAGATATCCACACTTCATTATTGACCCTAACAAGGCAAGGGATGAGAATTTGGTTGAATTATAGTTTTGTTTTATGATGTAAAGTTAGTGGGTAAAAAAACAGTCATCAGGATAAAAGAGCAGGATAGAATAGTGCAGAGTGGTGGTGGTGGTTTAGTCACTAAGTCATATCTGACTCTCTGCCATCCCATGGACAGTAGCCCACCAGGCTCCTCTGTCCATGGAATTCCCCAGGCAAGAATACTGAAATGGGTAGCCATTTCCTTTTCTAGGGGATCTTACCTACTCAGGGATGGAACCCGAGTCTCCTTCATTACAAGTGGATTCTTTACTGACTGAGCTACCATAGAAGTTCTTAGTGCAGGGTAGAGACATCTTTGAAAAAAAAAATTCCCAAAATTTGGAAATGAGTCAATCCAGGGGTCCTCAAATCACTGTAACTAACTGGCCAGTAGAGTGAAAAAGTAAGCTAGGACTAATGAATGAGCAACCCAAGTGCCCTTAGAGTCATTTATTCGAGCACCCACATCTGTTCTAGCATCTACGTTCTAGGTGATCTCCAAGGGTCACAATTGGATTGTAATGAAGAAGCCAGGAAAATAGTCGGAAGAACCAAACCAAGACCTAGGCTCCCTCTAAGACTTATGATCTGGCCCCTTCACCACAAAGTTTTTATAACCAGCCCTTTAAAATGATGCTTGGTTTCTATATTTGTAAAATGGAAGTTTAACAGCCTATTTGTCTCTGCATTGCGAGGAGGATTGACTTAAACAAAACGGGACAAAAAACCCTGAGAACATAATTCTGGATTTCTGTAACCCTGTTGGTTTTTCATTTCAAAGGTTACATGAGCTTGAGGTGAAACAAAAAATAATGCTCCTTTTCCTTTCTAAATTGTTATTTAAATGCTCCCCCCCCTCCCCGCCCGCCCCCGGCCAGGCAGAGAGGATAGTAGCTTTGGACAGTTTTTGCCTGGAGGGGAGGCACAGGATTTGAGAAGATTAATTGAAAACTCTCTTCCTGGAGAATCTCAGCTGCATGCCTATTCTGTCACCAAATGTTGCATCCCCACTTGCCTCGCCTGCTCTCTAGGTTCCCATGGTACCCTGGGCACATGACCCTTTATGTTACCTGGACACCCTTTGTTTTCACATTTCGGACTGTTCTACCTAGAGTCATTGGCAGGGGTGTATATTGGGTTGGTTTATCATCTCTACAGTTGTGTTCAGCCCCTTCCTGCTGATCTCCCCTCCTGTCCTGTCCCACATGGTATGCCCCAGGACCGCACTGGAGAGGCAGAGGGGCCTCACTAACACACACAACCGAGGGGCAGCTGGTGGAGGACTGGGCTGAGGTGAGGGGCCAGGGTCCCGAGGGCTGTAGGGATGTCTTGCTGCCTGAGTCCAGCTGCCAGGCCTCTTCATAACCAAAGGCAAATCTGGGGCAGAAGTTAAGGAGGAAGGGGGTTATTCCCAGACTAATTAAAGACAACTGAGTTTGAGGAAGTCTCTTGCGGAAGTTATTGTCCATCTCTGGGCCTTGATTTTCTCTCCTTCTTACCCAATGCTAACTTTCTTGAATTTCAGAAAAGGCGACTCTATTAGACTCACTGTTCTCCTTCCCTCAAGGCTATTTGAGAAACATAGCTATTCCAAAAGAGACCCTTGAAACCCTTGTCCCCAACCACAACTTAGAGCCACAGATTCAAAGCACAGACTGGCAACTGAAGAGCCCTCTTGTCCGCCTCCCTGTATCAGAGCCAAATCTTCCACCACTAACAGCTTGCCTCTTCTTTTTGCCCTAATTCCAGATACCATCAAGATGCCCAAGATGGAAAAAACTGTGCTCCAGAATGATTCTAATGAAGCAGAGAATGGAACCCATAAGCCTGAAACACCAGAGCAAACCCAAGAAAACCAGAGCTTCTGTTTAGATGACCACTCTGCTGGTAGGTCTGGAATTCTGTCATCATTTCCTTGGGTAGTGCTCGATAGCAGCTAGGTTAAAGGAATAGATAGCACGTGGTTTAAGTGCCTTTAAGGAGCATAGAAGGCTCTCACAACTTTATGTTTTTCACTCCTCATCCTTCTGCTAACTCCTCTTTCATATTATTCTTTTTCTTGTCTTTTTCCCCCACTAATCTTTACATATTGGACCTAGGTCCCTGATTGTTAAGTAAAATTAAAAGATATTTTAACTCTAGAGAAAGAGGCCAACAAAACATAATGACTTGTGTTTGACAAGACTTGAGCGTGTCTGAGTTAGTTCAAAACATGGGAAATTGGTGGCATTCTTATATTTTGATTTTATAGATTGTAAATGATAAATCTAGAATGGATTTGAGAGAATCTTAATTACCTAGTGCTGGAATTGTGTTCTGTCCACTCCCAAAGCAGTTTGTTAACATAAGAATTATCACTGCTCTAGGGTAATGTTTTAGATCTATAATAACAGATGCATAGAATCATGAGGTCTTTTCTACACCTTGTGGTAGGCATTTATTTGAGATTTTTGTTTGACTAGTCCAATCTCATAGGAACTCAAATTGCAATTCTCTTATGAAAATTGCCAGTGAATTCGACCAAACATAAATCTGAAGATATGTCCAAATGTAGTGACTTGCTCTAACCTCTTGAAGACAGAAATGAGAAAAATAGTTGGGAGCCACAATATTGTTGAGTCATGAATGTTTTTCTAGTGGCCATTTAGGGTCACTGCTAGTAGAGTGTGGAACAATTATTAATTCATAGTGTCTCTCAAATAAATGACTTAATGAATTGAATAAATGATATATTTCAACATATGTAGCCTTTTAGTTAGAGTGGAAAGGAGATATTGATTGATGATACTAACTTCTGTTGAAAAATTTTTAAATGAGACGTAAATTTGCATAAGTAGATCATCTCCTTGGTGAAGTTTTAGGGTTCTTAGATGAGTTTTATATTTTTGGTTATAAGTAGTTCTTTTAGAACAAATTATGGAACAGTGTTGAGAGTGAAAGAGAAAATAGTTTTATATAGTTTTATATACCAAGTAATAATTGTAACTACTGTGTGTGCTTACTATTATCTCTCTGTAACTAAGTAGTCTGTACAACAATCCCTCTGTGTCCACAAGAGATTGGTTCCAGGACTCTTCATCACTCTCGCCCCTCAGGATACCAAAATCCATAGTGCTCAAGTCCCTTATGTAAAATGGTGTAGTATTTGCATATAACCTACTTATATCTTCCTGTATAATATAAATCATCTCTAGATTACTTATAATACCATCAATATAAATTATATGTAAATAGTTACCAGCATGGAGCAAATTCAAGTTTTGCCATTTGGAATTTTCTGAAATTTAAAAAAATATATGTTTTTTATCTGCCATGGGTTGAAACTTAAGGTGCAGAGAGCCAACTGTATAATTAACTCAGAAAGTCATTCCTTAATTCCTATGAGAGTGTGTAATAAAGTTCTTACCAATCTTGAAGGAAATAAAGCAGAAATATCATAGGTTTTAAAAATAAAGTTAAATTGATGCAATTTAAAGATTGCTGAATTCTGACTATTTTCTTTTTGCTTTTTGAGATGTTGAAATATACTTTTTATTTTTTACAAAATAATTACTTGGATTATGGTAAGGTGGGTTTTTTGTCACAATACCCATATGTGGAAAAATTAAAATTGGCATATTACTATCACTCAGTTTTTTGTGTGAATTTTATTGGTCTGTGGAATCCCAAGATTTTGGAACAATGCTTTAAGAATGGTTCAGCTTTAGAGCCATATATGAATACTTACGGTGTTATCTGTAAGGAGACTGTCATTTTATGTCTCTTCTTCTCTCATCAGAGGTAGAAAAAGGATTTAGGAACCACTTTCTGAGTTCATTATACAGTTGGCTCTCTGCACCTGATGGTAGATAAAAAAATATTTTTTTATCTGTAGATAAAACAGTAAGTATAAAAAGTAAATTCTAGCTAAAGGTTTACTTTATAAACCACAACTTATTCATTGTTTCTTTGCTATATTTCACTTATTGTTTTGACAGTTTAGGCAAAAGTTTTTGAAATAAGTTTCACTTTTTGTTTTTCATAAGGTAACTTCTCCTCATATCTGACTTCTCTGCAAGTTTCTAGAGCTGTTGAACGGCAAAGAGTTCAGAAAACCTCAAATACTATAATGATCGAGTGAATCTGTTTAAGATCTGTTTGATAAATCTAAATTTGAGGAAGTTATTTGGCTGAGTGTATCTCTGATGAAAAGAAATTCTATTTGTGTGGGTTCCCTGTTTACTGATCTCTATGCCTTTTTCCAGCAAGCTGACCTGAAGTACTTTCTGTCATGGATCTGATAGAGACAGTTAATGAAATTTCTAAGCTTAGCATTGCTCATGAAATCGTGGTAAATCAAGATTTTTACATGGAAGACAGTGTATTACCTCCCAACAGGTATCAACTCTATTTTTTCCATTTTATTCCTCCTGACATATGTACACAGCACAAATGACTTTGGATCAGGTTTGAAGCATTTTTATTAATACAGTTAATGTTTTAGTATGTCTTCAATGATACCAACAAATAAAACAGAGGAATAATCTATGTAATTATTAGTTTTACAGATTGAAAGCAGAAAAAATTTATATAAGCAGGGAATAAATTAATGAAATTATTGTCAGAACTTTCATTTTGGTATCTTATTTAACAGTGAAACACAGTGAATTCCACATCTTCTTAGACAGCTTTGGAGGAAGTAGCTACTAGTAGTTAATCTCCTAACTGTCTATAGGTTGATCAAGTACAAATGAAATTATTTCTTTTCTAATAGTGATATTGCCAACTCTTCATGGGATAAGAGATTTCAGGGAACATTTATGCTTCATAATCAGCTTAACAAAAATTCTGTGAACCAAGATCAAAACCCATTAATAAACAATGCCCCTCTAAAATCACAGTTTATTCTGGTTCTTGTTAATTGTATTGATATTGCACTACATACATGAATCATTCAGGAAGTATGATTTGAATACTTCTAGTAGTTTGTTTGGAGAAGGCAATGGCAACCCACTCCAGTACTCTCGCCTGGCAAATCCCATGGATGGAGGAGCCTTGTAGGCTGCAGTCCATGGGGTCGCTAAGAGTCAGACACGACTGAGCGACTTCACTTTCTTTCCACTTTCATGCATTGGAGAAGGAAATGGCAACCCACTCCAGTGTTCTTGCCTGGAGAATCCCGGGGACGGGGGAGCCTGATGGGCTGCTGTCTGTGGGGTCACACAGAGTCGGACATGACTGAAGCGACTTAGCAGCAGCAGCAGCAGTAGTTTGTTAATAGTTAAATGAGTAAATTTCTTTGTTTTACCCAATATTGCATATAACATTCTAATTTCCCAGCTTTAAAAGTGGCTTCTATTTTGCCACTTCAGGTATTCTATCACTTAAGCACCTTGCTCTGTCAGTGTCTCTTGATCTTTACACTTCTTAGTTTTTTCCCTTAGTTTGCCAACACTGCCTTCACTGTCCCTGTAGTCTTAGTTGGATTTATTTTTCTGCTGGCAGGGGTGCAGAGAAAGTGAAACAAGGAGAGTGAAGTTCTGCTAAAGTGGCTGAGGGGTTGTGGTGGTGATGAGGGGTGGGGAAATGAAGCAGAGGGAATAATACTTTTGAACTGGCCAAACTGTTCAGTTTTTCCTATAAGGTGGCTCTAGTAGCATTTAGTTGACTTTAATTTCACTTCAAACAATTTTATCAGGTTGTATTGTGACAGCTGTCATATAAGCATGCATTTTAAAAAAAACTTATCAAAATTGCTGAATTTTTGTGTAGCAATTTTAATATTGAAGATGGAAGGAAAAAGCAACATTTTTGCATATTATGCTTTCTTTTTTCAAGAAAGGTAAAAAAGTTCCATTTTTAAAACAAATTGTGACAGATGATGAAAAGTGGATACTGTACAATAATGTGAATTAGAGGAGATCATGGGGCAATCGAAATGAACTACCACCAACCACACCAAAGGCTGGTCTTCATCCAAAGAAGGTGATGTTGTGTATATGATGGGATTGGAAAGGAATCCTCTATTATGAACTCCTTCTAGAAAACCAAACAGTTAATCACAAGTACTGCTCCCAGTTAGACCAATTGAAAGCAACACTTAACAAAAAGCATCCAAAATTAGTCAGCAGAAAACACATCATCTTCCATCTGAATAGTGCAAGACTGCATGTTTCTTTTTTTTTTTTCATTTATTTTTATTAGTTGGAGGCTAATTACTTTACATCATTGCAGTGGTTTTTGTCATACATTGAAATGAATTAGCCATGGATTTACATGTATTCCCCATCCAGGTCCCCCCTCCCACCTCCCTCTCCACCCGATCCCTCTGGGTCTTCCCAGTGCACCAGGCCCGGGCACTTGTCTCATGCACCCAACCTGGGCTGGTGATCTGTTTCACCCTAGATAATATACGTGTTTCGATGCTGTTCTCTTGAAACATCCCACCCTCGCCTTCTCCCAGAGTCCACAAGTCTGTTCTATACATCGGAGTCTCTTTTTCTGTTTTGCATATAGGGTTATCATTACCATCTTTCTAAATTCCATATATATGTGTTAGTATACTGTAATGGTCTTTATCTTTCTGGCTTACTTTGCTCTGTATAATGGGCTCCAGTTTCATCCATCTCATTAGAACTGATTCAAATGAATTCTTTTTAATGGCTGAGTAATATTCCATGGTGTATATGTACCACAGCTTCCTCATCCATTCGTCTGCTGATGGGCATCTAGGTTACACACCAGTCAGGATGGCTGCTATCTAAAAGTCTACAAGCAATAAATGCTGGAGAGGGTGTGGAGAAAAGGGAACCCTCTTACATTGTTGGTGGGAATGCAAATTAGTACAGCCACTATGGAAAACAGTGTGGAGATTTCTTAAAAAGCTGGAAATAGAACTGCCATATGACCCAGCAATCCCACTTCTATGCATACACACCGAGGAAACCAGATCTGAAAGAGACACGTGCACCCCAATGTTCATCGCAGCACTGTTTATAATAGCCAGGACATGGAAGACTGCATGTTTCTTTGATGACCAGGCAAGAACTGTTACAGTTTGACTAGGAAGTTCTGATGCATCTGTGTATTCTCCAGACATTGCACCTTCAGATGTCTACTTATTTCAATCTTTACAAAATTCTTTGAATGGAAAAAGTTTCAATTCCCCAGAAGACTTAAAAGGAACCTGGGTTAGTTCTTTGCTCAAAAAGATAAAAAGTTTGGGGAAGATTAAATTATAAAATTGTCTGAAAAATGGCAGAAGGTAGTGGAACAAAATGGTGAATACGTTGTTCAATAAAGTTGTTGGTGAAAATGAGAAATGTGTCTGTATTTTTACTTAAAAACCAAAGGAACATTTTGGCCAACTCAATGTTTGAAACTCGATCTTCATTGTTTTGTTATTAACAGCATTATTCTAGTGTAGTAATGCAAGAAGTATACCAGGAAAGATACTGAAATACACTTGAGGGTTATCTATTATCTATAGGTAATCAATGACTGCTTTTATCTTTGGACTTATAAAATGATACTAATTTTAGAGTTATGGATTCCTAAGAGAAATCTCATTGTCAGATATTTATTCTACAAACATTTATTGAGTATGTACTGGGTGGAAGGCTGAATGCTAAATGTTGGAGACATATAGCTGGCTTTGCCATTAAGAAGCTTCTGTAGGTGAGATAGTCAAATAGTATATAGTTCCTGTGCAGTGATAAGTTCTCTCACATCTAGTATATGGAGTTCCTTATTCCTGCTTAGCTGCCAAGGAGGGTCTGGGAAACCTTCCTGATGAGGTAATGTTGAGTTGAATTTTTATATATGAATAGGTGCTTTTAGGCGGTCTAGGGTTCATAAAATTGTATAGGACACAAGGACCAAAACCACCCCAAAGAAAAAAAATGAAAGATGGCAAAATGGTTGTCTGGGGAGACTTTACAAATGCTGAAGAAAGAAGAGAAGAGAAAGCCAAGGGAGAAAGGGAAAGATATACCCAACTGAATGCAGAGTTCCAGAGAATAGCCAAGAAGAGACAAGAAGGTCTTCTTAAGTGAATAATGCAAGGAAATAGAGGCAAACAATAGAATGGGAAAGACTAGAGATCTCTTCAAGGAAATTGAATGTTTTTTTTATTGTAATTAGCCTCCAACTAATAAAAATAAATGGGAAAAAAAGAAAATTGAAGGTATCAAGGGAACATTTCATGTAAGGATGGACACAATAAAGGACAGAAACAATAGTGATCTAACAGAAGCAAAAGACATTAAGAAGAGGTGGCAAGAATGCACAGAAAAACTATGCAAAAAAAAAAGTCTTATTTACCTGGAAAACCACAATCATGTGGTCACTCACTTAGATCCAGATATCCTGTAGTGTGAAGTCAAGTGTGCCTTAGGAAGCATTAGTATGAACAAAGCTAGTGGAGGTGATGGAATTCCAGATGAGCTATTTCAGATCCTAAAATATGACACTGTTAAAAAGTGCTGCACTTAATATGCAAGCAAATTTGGAAAATTCAGCAGTGGCTACAGGTCAGGAAAAGTCAGTTTTCATTCCAGTCCCAAAGAAGGGCAATGACAAAGAATGTTCCAACTACCAAACAGCTGTACTCATTTCACATGATCAGAAGGTTAGAACTGGACATTTGTGAGTCAAAGTTAGAACTGAACACAAAACTGACTAGTTCCAAATTGGGAAAGGAGTAGGTCAAGGCTGCATATTTTCACCTTGTTTATTTAACTTCTATGTAGAGCACATCATGAGATATGCTGCGCTGGATGAGTCACAACCTGGAATCAAGATTGCTGGGAGAAATATCAACAACTTCAGATATACAGATGATACCACTCTAAAGGCAGAAAGGGAAGAGGAACTAAAGAACCCCTTGATGAAGGTGAAAGAGGAGGGTGAAAAGGCTGACTTGAAACTGAACATTTAAAAAACTAAGATCATGGCATCCAGTCCCATCACTTCATGGTAAATAGAAGGGGAAAAAATGGAAGCAGTGACACATTTAATTTTCTAGGGTTCCAAAATCACTGCAGACTATGACTGAAGCCATGAAAGTAAAAGATGCTTGCCCTTGGAAGGAAAGTTATGACAAACCTAGACAGCATATTAAAAAGCAGAGATATCACTCTGCCAACAAAGGTCCGTACAGTCAAAATCATGGTTTTTCCAGTAGTCATGTACAGATGTGAGAAGTGGAACAGAGAGAAGGCTAATTGCCAAGGAATTGATGCTTTCGAATTGTGGTTCTGGAGAATACTCTTGAGAGTCCCTTGGACTGGCAGGAAATCAAATCTGTCAATCCCAATGGAAATCAGCCCTGAATATCCATTGGAAGGACTGATGCTCCAGTACCTTGGCCACCTGATACAAAGAGCCTACTCATTGGAGAAGACATTGATGCTGGGAAAGATTGAAGGCAAAAAGAGAAGGGGGCAGCAGAGGATGAGATGTTTAGATAGCACCACTGACTCAATAAACAAACTCTAGGAGATAGAGGATGTCAGAGGAGCCTTTCATGCTACAGTCTATGGGGTCACAATAAAAAATGAGGACACGACTTAGCAACTAAACAACTTTGGGGTTCCTCTGGTGGCTCAACAGTAAAGAATCTGCCTGCCAATCCAGGAGACCCAGGTTCAATCCCTGGGTCAAGAGGACCCCCTGGAGGAGGAAATGGCAATCCACTCCAATATTCTTGCCCTGGAAATCCCATGGATAGGAGGGCCTGGAGGGCTATAGTTCATGGGGTCACAAAGAACTCGGACACAACTTAACTACTAAACAACAATGACAACAAGAAAATCTTCCTGGTGATAGGGAGGTTCTATAGAACTTTAAATGATCATGTCATTATGATCAGATTTTTTTCTTAGAAATATCATTGGTCTTAGCAAGAATATGTGGCATTGTGGAAGTAAGATTTTGATTGGGGGCTGGAATACCTTTACTAGACTATTGCAATAGTCCAGGTAGAAAATGATGGCAGGAGGAGATGGATTCCAGACATATTTAGGAATCAAAATCTCTGTAATTTGGGGACCAAGTGCAATAAAAGGATGAAGAGAAGTAATTATTATGCGTTTGATAAATAACAGTTGGTGACATCTCACAAATGGGATTGGTGTGTTGGGGAAGGAACTTTGACTTTTTTCATCTACCTCTGTATTGCTTGTAAAATTTTCAACAAAAGCGTGCATTACTATTTCATTTTTAATGGGAAAAATGTAAACTTTATGATTTGTTTGAAAAGACACAGGTTTGAGAAGGGAAGATAATGAGTTGGAGGTGCACATAAGATTTTCAAGTGTTATCAAGAAGGAAAATCCTTTCTTGGATTTTAAGGCTGAAGGGAAAAGATCATCTAGTTCAAAGGTATAAATCTATGGGTATTAAAACCAAGACATACATTTAGGTCAGATAAAGAACCAAGGCTAGAACTCAGGGCCTCAAATGCAAGTTCTTGGTTCTTCTTACTAGAAGGAGAGCTCTTCTGGAACCATGAGGAATCCTTCTGAGAGAAATTGACCAGTGCCTTTGCATCTGAGACTAAACTCAGTTTATTTAACTCTGCTAAAGTCTAAACATAGCTCCTGCCCTATCAACATAATGGTCTTTCATGATCTTAAATGATGTTTGGGATTTAGGAGATTAGGATCCTATATCAACTCTCTGGGTAAAGAATAAGTTGCTCATTTAACCGTCTTATAGTCTGGAAGGCAGGATTATGGAGACAATGTACAAGGCTTTTTGGGATCATCTGAAAGTCCAGCTATCAAGTACTCCAGCTGACTTCACTTCTGCACTTGAACTCCTAAAAGAAGTTAAGGAGGTGAGTAACCAACTTCCCATTTTTGGATATTAAATCTTAGTTGTGGCATGGGGTATCTTTCATTGTGGTGCATGGGCTTCTCTCTAGTTATGGTGCATAGGCTCAGCACTTGCAGCTTGTGGGCTTAGTTGCCCTGCAGCATGTGGGATCTTAATTTCTCTGAGCAGGGATCAAACCCATGTCCCCTGTATTGCAAGGCGAATTCTTAAATACTGGACCACAGGGAAGTCCTTTTTTTTTTTTAACCCCAGACCTTTTAATTGTTGATAACTAGGAATTATTTGGGGGCTTCCCAAGTGATGCCAGTGGTAAAGAGTCCACCTGCCTATGAAGGAGAAGTAAGAGACTCGAGTTTGATCCCTGGGTGGGGAATATGCCCTTGAGGAGGGCGTGGCAACCCACTCCAGTATTCTTGCCTGGAGAATCCCATGGACAGAGGAGACTGGTGGGCTATAGTTCATAGGGTAGCATAGAGTCAGACATGACTTAGCATGCATGCATGCACAAGCTTCCTTTCTACATATGTTCCACTACTTGAACAGATAATATGGAGAAACTTCCATTTTATTTGTATGAGATGAAGCTTGAAATTTGAGATCTTGCTGTAACAACACAGTATGTCATTCAATTAAACAGATTTTCACTTAACCCCCATTATGTTTTCTGTGTTTCAGAAGCACATAGATACGTAAGAGAGCATTTGCCAATAAGAAACTTATACTTTAGAGTGAAAAGATTATTTCGAGTGACACTTAAAGGTTTCTCTGCCTATTTCATCTTTTCCCTTTGCAGTCAAACAATCTAATAATGTCCTTATCCCTTATTAAAAATATCTCACCACCACAAGGTTATACTTAAAATGGATAACCAAGGACCTACTGTATAGCACATGGAACTCTGCTCAATATCATGTGGCTGCCTGAATGTGAGGGGAGTTAGGGGAAGAATGGATGCATGTATATGTATGGCTGTTCTCCTGAAACTATCACATCGTTAATCAGCTACCCGAATACAAACTAAAAAGTTTTATAAAAAGAATATCCCATTACCTTGTGAAGGTATGTATTTTATACTTTTTATATCTTGCATTTGTTTTTGTCACAGTTATTTTTCTTCCTATCTTTATCTCATTCTGCCTAGAAAATAGTACAGCACTACTGTTACTATTAATCCCGATGAAGCCTTAAATTATAACTGACTCCTAAACAGAGAGAAATAATATTCTGTATATGCAATTGGGAAACCTAGTTTCTGGAGCCTCAATAGACATAGGCTGACATGCCTTTGCCTTAAGGAGATTGTTCATCAAAGAGTGTTTGGGATTCTAAATAATTTGGCTCCAATAGATTTTCTTTTCTGGGCAGATATTGCTATCACTGCTATTACCACGCCAGAACAGCCTAAGAGATGAGATTGAAGAAGCTCTGGACATAGATCTCCTCAAGCAGGAAGCAGAGCATGGGGCCCTGGATGTCCCTCATCTCTCCAACTACATTCTTAATTTGATGACCCTGCTGTGTGCACCAGTCCGAGATGAAGCAGTGTGAAAATTAGAGAGCATAACAGATCCTGTGCAGTTACTGAGGTGAGAAACTAGATGTACTGTTCCTAAAGACGAGATGTAGTATCCTGTCTTAGACACTGTACCAGAAAACTCTGGGCCAGATACTGGGTTATAGCCCCTGGCTTGCCTAACTCTTCTATACTGAAGAACAGACTAATACCTCTGTTGTTCCTCTCTGGTTTATTGGCTTTCATTTTCAAAGGATGGATTCTCAGAACCCTTTTGATGATCTTCAGATCATTTGGACACTTTCTAAGAAATGATGCTGTTAAGATACTGGCTTCCCAGGTGATACTAGTGGTAAAGAATCCCCCTGCCAGTGTAGGAGATGCAAGAGAAGAGGGTTCGATGCCTGAGTTGGGATGATCCTTGGAGAAGGAAATGGCAACCCACTCCAATATTCTTGTCTAGACACTAGAGTACAGTAACTGTTTCTTTGGGAGATTTTTCAAACAGCACTTTCGCAGACAATTTCTTATGTATCCTAACTCAAACCCTGTGAGGGAACAAGAATGAGGATGATCCGTGTTTCACAGATAGAAGAACCAAGACCCAGAGGTAAAGTAATAAGCCAAATGAGTTAGAAATTCAACCACCATCATCCCAACTACCCACAGAGAGTTAGAATTTTAGTCGTTTTTCTGAGATGGAGTACCTACAATAGAAAGAACTCTAGACTGGTAACTAAAAGGTCAGAAGATGTATCTGTTCCTAGCTCTGATAACAACTCACTTTGTGGCCTTGGGTCCCTGGCTGCAGTGTCTGTATTTGTAAATTGAAGTACAAATGTAGACTGAAATAAATTGAAGACTGGTTTTTTTTTTCCATTTATTTTTATTAGTTGGAGGCTAATTACTTTACATCATTGCAGTGGTTTTTGTCATACATTGAAATGAATTAGCCATGGATTGACTGGTTGTTAAGGCCATTTTTAACTCTAAGATACTGTGATTTTAGGACTCTTAGCTTGAGTTCCACCTCACTCAACTAGATTACCTTTCAGAGTGTAAGCATTTGATTTTTCCTCCATTGACAGGGGCATTTTCCATGTTCTGAGCCTGATGAAAATGGACATGGTGAACTATACTATACAGAGCCTCCGACCCTACCTGAAGGAACATTCTATCCTGTATGAACGAGCTAAATTCCAGGAACTCCTCAACAAGCAACCCAGTATGTTCAAAATTTAAGGACAGGAGAGGGGGAGATTTGACTTTGGGTTTGATTTCTTACAGTGATAGAGTACTTTGTATTTTTTTTTAAACAGATAGCTTCTCCCTATTGGACAGGGGGTGAGGGCATGGGGTAGGAAGAAGGAACATTTCTCTAAGAGAAAAGATGTACAAAATCATTTCTTTATTGAGGAAGATTATATCCTCAAGCCTTGGTGTTTGAAGATATTTACATATTCCCTTCTATGTCATAGATCTCCTTGATTGCACCACAAAATGGCTAACCAAAACAGCTCTAGACCTCACTACACCACCTTCAAGTTCTCCTGACTCTCCCAGCTCCTCCATCGTGGCCCGTTCATCTCCAAATTGGGCAGTGGACAACCCACAACTTCCCAGTTCCACAATGGTGCTATACCAGGGTTACCTGAACCTTCTTCTCTGGGATCTTGACAGTAAAGAGTTTCCCGAGGTAGGAACATATGTTAGAATATTGCCTTTTTGTTTTGTATTTGAAACCTTTACTAAAACACTCTTCTGACAGCTTGCTTTTCTCTGCCTCACCAGACTCTGCTAATGGATAGAATCCGGCTGCGAGACATGGAATCCCAGTTGAAGCAGTTGGCCATTCTGGCCTCAGTCTTGCTAGTGGCCAGAAGTTTCTCTGGTAGTGCTTTATTCAGTTTGACTGAATTTGTGAATAAACTGAAACACATAACCAAGGCCCTGATGGAGGAATTTAACTCCAGGTAAACTTCATAGAGGCTTTCCTGGTGACTCAGTAAAGAATCTGCCTGCCAATGCAGGAGACCCAGATTTGAACCTTGGGTCAGGAAGATCCCCTGGAGTAAGAAATGGCAACCCACTCCAGTGTTCTTGCTTGGAGAATTCCATAGATAGATGAGCCTGGCAGGCTACAGTCCATGAGGTTGCAAAAGAGTCAGACATGACTTAGAGACTAAACAACATGAGCAACAACAAATTTCCTAGATCTTTCTGAGAGTTGAAAATAATATGTTGGTTTTGGAACTTAGGCAGTTAATGTATCACTGCCTTATTCTTTATCATAAACTACGCAAAAGACCTTGGGCATCATCTGCAAAGGTCATTGGTGTATTTTGATAAATTGTATTAAGGCTTGTGATTAAAACAAAACCTATTACCAATGAGGTGAGTGTGGAAACTAGTTTGCTATGAATGATTCAGTACCATGTTTGCTAAAAATGAGTCATTATATACTTAAATAAGTGACACTGGATTTGTGTATGTATATCCAGAAGTTGATCTCTTGGTCAATATTTATCCATAATTTGCTTCATGCAGGGCACCTCAGCCGAAGTAAAATAAAGAACTGGAAGTTCAGATCTCAGTATATTTACAAGTTAATTGGTGAAGTAGGGAAGACAACTCTGGAAAATGCTTAAGAAGTCTTAAAACAGAATTTGAATAAAGTTTATGGGACTAAAGAATACTGAGTAGATCCAAGAATTGAACTGAACCCTTGTCCAATTTGTTTCATTTGAAGTGGAGAATAGTATGAATTAGTTAATATGTATGAATTAATATGTGTGAAATAGTTGACATCTTGAGGTAACAATGAAATGATTTGAAATGCTGGGTCCTCTGTTAGTGGTGGAGAGCTGGAATTCTTTTGTAAGTGGGCCTGGCTTCTGGTGTTGGACTCTCTGGGCTTTGCCCCTATGCCAAGGCCACTCTGCTTTGTGTCCTTCATTATCTAGGCCTGAAGAGGCTATGGTGAGTGTGAGTGAACAAGTGTCTCAGAAAATCCATGAACGCCTCAAAGACATGGGCCTAACTGCCCTGACTAGTGAAAAGAAAGCCTCTCTTAGAGGCCAACTTCAGAACATTGCCAAGAAAGAGAACTGTGTTCGTAGCATCATTGGTAAGAGTCCTCCTATGCTGGTGGGGCTGGGAAGGGGTAGTAAGAATGTGGAAGGTAAGAAGGTGGACTCAAGCCTGGAAGTCAGTTGTGAAGCCATTCAAAGATGGAATGATCATTGGGAAAGTCTTTTGGCTTTAGTTTCCTTATGTATAATGTACAGAATTGAAATAGATCTCTTTCAGCTTGAAGAGTGAACACATGGTTTTAAGGTCAGCTAGGATGTGTAACTTACAGGTGCTAGTGCTGAGTGATTCCTGGCCATTCTCTAACTATAACCCAAGACCTGTGATGGGAAACCCTATCTCTATCCCATGATGGTCCCTATTTCCCTCTAAGGAACTGATGCTAATTTAGGCAGAAGGATATATTCCCTTCAAGAATGGCAGCAGTGAACTCAACCACCCTGCTTCTAATTTTTGCATCTTGACATAATCTGATATGGTTGTATGGGCCCAGAGTCGGTACACTGTCTGCAATGTATGTCCTTAGAATTTCACGTACAATGTCTAGGATCCTTTTGTTAGGTCACACACATGGGGAGCTCACTTAGCACCCCATAACATTATAAACAGCCAGAAACTTACTGGCTCGACATCTTTCAATAATGCATTGCTTTTAGGAGCTTTATAGCATTCCTTCTTCCAAAAAATAAAAGAAAGAAAAAATCTCATTAACATGGTTTATCTGAATGAGTAGGTAGGTCAGTGAAAATGTGTTTATTTAAACATTGGTGAACAGAGAGTGCAAGGGCATTGTGAATTTATTCTGAAACTTCTTTGATCTTTCCCTTTTAACTTTTTTCTTGCACACAGATCAGCGGATCCACTTGTTTCTCAAAGGCTGTTTGGTTCGCGGGATGCAGGAGTCTCTGCTAGACTTCCCTGTTGGCCTTATTCTCATCAAGCGGGAGTTGACAAAACTGGGTTGGAAGTTTTTCAATCTGATGCGTCACAATCAGCAGGTATTTAGCCCCTATTATGATGAAATCCTTAAAGATATCATCCCTTCAGCTCAGGCACAAGAAACAGAAGTGGAATCTGATAGTGCCAGACCCCAGTCTGGCAATAGAGACCCAGGAGAGAGGGCTAAGTATGTTCCTGGGATGACATCACCTGCCCAGCAGAGTAGCCTCTTCTTCACTTCAACCTGGACTCAGGGCTGCAAGATTCCAGCATGTAAATACAAACTGGCCCAGCCCCCTTCATAATAAACTTCTGTGCTGCAAGAAAACCTCAGTTCCTTCTGTGTTGTGACTGAACCCAGGTTTTGTGCCCTTATCTGCTACTGTCTGAGAACCAGTGATCTCTCAGTTCTCCTTCACTGGCTGATCATTCTTCAGGATGCTGGCTTGAGCAGGCATCAGGGCATCGACTGCTAGCATTGTTTTCGCCAATGAAAAATCATTTCCTTGAGGGCTGTGAAAAATTTCTGTGGAATTTTTTCAAAGTGTGAGTTCTGGAAGTATAAGGGCTTCTAGAAATTGGGAATACACTGAGTTACAGATCAGGGGAAGTCATAGAACCCTATTTCCAGTATCACATTTTCCCTATAATTTTAAAACTGCAGTAATAGTAAGAGCCCCCACATCCTGTTCTGGTGTGGGAGGCATGAAGCAGTATGCAAAATTGAGGACTGGATGAAAGTCAATGTTGTCTGCCAACAAGCATTCATTTGAGGATAGTTCTCAGCCTCAATGGGTGTGTGCTCTCTCTCTCTTTAGTGATCCTGGGGGTAAGTTTTAGACTATCTCAAACCAGTTCTAAATGCAAGCACTTAGGTCACAGACACTTGTTTCAAGTTCATCTCTGGTTCCATTCTGTAGCTAAATCTTCTACTGTCACATTTCTAGGCTTAGAACATTTCTTTCTTCTTGAGATAAATGACCTGGGTATTCAAGAGTGGGACAGCCACCATGTTTCTTCCCACTTGCAGTCTAAGCCTCTAACTCCCAGATTGTGATTGTCAACTCATTTGGCATCACAAACGACAGATGCCCTAGATTCACAAAGATCTGGGCTTGTTTTCTTCAATTGTAGAGATTCACCCTGTCATCTGAACTTTGCCTGTGTGGATCACAACAAACTGTGAAAAATTCTTAAAAGAGATGAGAATAACAGACCACCTTACCTACCTCCTGAGAAATCTGTATGCAGGTCAAGAAGCAAGAGTTAGAACGAGACATGAAACAACTGACTGGTTCCAAATCGGTAAAGGAGTATGTCAAGGCTGTATGTTGTCTGTCACCCTGCTTATTTAACTTATATGCAGAGTACATCATGAGAAATGCTGGAATGGATGAAGCATAAGCTGGAATCAAGATTGCCGGGAGGAATATTAATCACCTCAGATATGCAGTTGACACCTCACTTATGGCAGAAAGTGAAGAACTAAAGAGCCTCTTGATGAAAGTGAAAGAAGAGAGTGAAAAAAGTTTTAACTCAACATTCAGAAAACTAAGATCATGGCATCCAGTCCCATCACTTCATAGTAAATAGATGGGGAAACAGTGACAGACTTAATTTTGGGGGGCTCCAAAATCACTGCCGATGGTGGCTGTAGCCATGAAATTAAAAGATGCTTGCTCCTTGGAAGAAAAGTTATGACCAATCTAGGCAGCATATTAAAAAGCAGAGATATTACTTTGCAAACAAAGGTCCATCTAGTCAAAGCTATGGTTTTTCCAGTAGTCATGTATGGATGTGAGAGCTGGATTATAAAGAAAGCTGAGCGCTGAATAATTGATGCTTTTGAACTGTGGTGTTGGAGAGGACTCTTGCAAGTCCCTTGGAATGCAAGGAGATCCAACCAGTCAATCCTAAAGGAAATCAGTCCTGAATATTCATTGGAAAGACTGATGCTGAAGCTGCAACTCCAATACTTTGGTCACCTGATGCAAAGAACTAACTCCTTTGAAGAGACCCTGATGTTGGGAAAGATTGAAGGCAGAAGGAGAAGGGGATGACAGAGGATGAGATGGTTGGATGGCATCACCGACTCATAGACATGAGTTTGAGTAAGCTCTGGGAGTTGGTGATGGACAGGGAGGCCTGGCGTGCTGCAGTCCGTGGGGTTGCAAAGAGTTGGAGACGACTGAATGACTGAACTGAACTGAAGTGACCCTTTCATTTACAGGCCAGCTACAACAGACCACCAGCAATCTAGGAAAGTAGGGGAAAAATTAGCTCACCTTTGGACTTGTTTGAAATGGACAGGAGAAAATAAAAATTCACTTGGGGTATATTATAACTGGATGGGGGGAAATGTCCTCACCATTTCAGGGGATGGGAAGAGCTGAGTATAACTTACTTAATCCAAGAATAATAACAGATGGGATCTGAGTTCCATTAGTCCCAGGGTTATTTTTCTAGAAGATGGATTCCAGGTGGTTGCTATAGCTAGGTGAATAGAGTGATAACTTTATTGACTGAATATAAGGCACACAGAGGAAGGAGCCTGGCAGGTTATAGTCCATAGGGTCGCAAAGAGTCAGGCATGACTGGGTGACTGAGCAAGGCACAGAGGGAAGCTGAGGAATGGATCATTCAAGGGTTCTAGTCTTGTGACTTAGTTTTAGGAAAGAGACAATGGCTGGTTAATGTGCATTTAATAAGCAGGCTGTGAATTTTGTCTAGCTGGATTTTCTAATCTGATTTGCCACTATTAAATACATTTTAAAAAATCTTCATTTTGGAGTCCTGATTGTTTTATATAAAAATGTACTCTGAAGGGATCCCTGTGGAAATGACTGTTGGTGGCAGGAGTGTTAGTGGATATAGACATTAGACTGAAATGAAATTTTGCCTTATAGTTTACAATTGAGATTTGGTATAATTGATTTCTTTGAGATTCTGAGTTAGTTTTATATCTCCACATGGAGAAGAGAGAAATCTTAATCTTAAACAGGGAAAGATGGCTCCATTCAATCCTGCTCACCATTTAAGGGGAAAATAAATACGTATATACACACCCTGAAATGGTGAGGACATTTTCACCCATCCAGTTATAATATCCCACAAGTGAAGTTTTATTTTCTCCTGTCCATTTCAAACAAGTCCAAAGGTGAGTATGTGTGTATGTGTGTCAGCTCTTCTTCAACTCAAGCTAAATAAAAAGCCCAGAAATGTGCAAAGATGTTCCCTTAACTCACTTAACCAGAGAAGATAAAAAACAGAAACATAGTGTCTTTCTGACCCTTGAATACTCACATCATTTCTCTCAAGAAAAATTAAGTGTTCTCAGCCTCAAAACGTGACAAAAAGATTGGTTCAGCTGTAGGATGGGACCTGTATTCACAGGAGGATACTTTACCAGTGATCCACCTGGATTGGCAGTATGTGTACACGATTAAATGTAGTAAAAAGCCGGTTTCTGTAGCATGCTTGTGTTTCACTCAACCTAGAAGAAATCCCCATTTTTACAATTTTGTATATCCTTCCAGAGATATTCTCTGCAAATGCAAGTACACATTATAGTGTTATGATCACATACAGGCCAGGCACTTTTAAACTTTCTATGTATATGGTTTTATTTATTCCTGCATTGTTTATTTCCAGTCCATATTTCTAGTTCTAGTGCAGTATTCTTGCCTAGAAAATTCCATGGATAGAGGAGCCTGGTGGGCTATAGTCCATAGGGTCACAAAGAGTTGGACACAACTGAGCACATCTGCACAGAGCAGTGTGGCACAAGAAGCTCTAACGGGAGTTAGAACCTCTTTTGCTTTTTGTTTATCTTCTCTGGTTGAGTGAGTTAAGGGGACATCTTTGCACATTTCTGGACCTTTTCTTTAGGTTGAGGTGAAGTAGGGCTGAAAGAAGTTCTTTTGAGAATTTTTTGAAGCCACTGGACTAGATTATCTTGAAAGGTTCCTGGATTATTTTTTTACAGTGGCTTTAACAAATTACCATGAACCTGGTGGCTTAAAATAACACACATTTATTCTCTTCTAGCCCCAGAGGTCAAGTACAAAATTGGCTTTACTGGGTACAAACCAAGGTTTCTTAGCAAGTCCACTGTCCCTTAGGCAGGCTTTCTCTAGGGAGAATTTCTTAAGTTGCCTTTTCTACATCTAGAGCTGCATTCTTATAGTCCTTGCCTTGTGACCCATTCATCCATCATCTGAGCCAACGTAACACTGCCCTCCTTCTTCTGTGTCAAATGTCGTCCTTTTCTCTTTATAAGGACAATTACATTTAGGGCTCGCCAAGCTAGTCTCCTGGTGGCTCAGACGGTAAAGAATCTACCTACAATGCAGGAGACCTGGGTTCTATCCTTGGGTCAGGAAGATCCCCTGGAGAAGGGATTGGCTACACACTTCAGTATTCTTGCCTGGAGAATTACATGGGCAGAGGAGCCTGGCGGGCTATACTCATGGGGTCACAAAGAGTCGGACACAACTGAGTAACACTTTCACTTTTCGCTTTCAAGATAGTCTCCCCATCTCAAGATCCTTAACTTAATCACATCTGCAAAGTCCCTTTTGCCAAATCAGATAACATTCACAGATTTCAGGCACTAGGGCATGGATATCCTTAGAGGTCATTGTTCAGCAGACAACAGTTTGTCTTCTGACCCCTGCAAAGATCCAAATCCACCTATCATGCGAAACGCATTCATCTCATCCCAATATCCCCCAAAGTCTCAACATATTACATATCAAGTCCAGAATCTCACCTGTAAATCATTTAACCAGATATGTGAGAAACTGGGTATGATTCTCCCTGTGACAAAAATTTTCTCCATCAGTGGGTCTGTGAACTAGTAAAAAAGTTACCCCCTCCCAAATTACAGTAGTGGGATAGGTATAGGATAATAGTTACAGACATTCCCACTCCAAGTGGGAGAAAATGAAGAAAAGAGTTATTGACTCCAAGCAATCTTGAAATCCAACTAGGTAAACTCCACCAGGCTACAAGGCCTGGAAATCATCTTCTGTTTCTGGAGATTCTGGCCTTTGTGCCTAAGGGTCTATATTTCACACCGCAGGTCCTGTACTCAGAATCATCCTTCTGTCAGGAAGAATGTCGCCCAGCGCCTCTCCTTGCCCTCTGCGCCTCGGGCCTCCTTTCCGTCGGTCCAGCTCTTTCTTGCCCTCCCGGCGTGTGGCCCTTCTCGCTTGTGACCCGCTGCTCATTGGAGTTTCCCTTCTGCCCTCGGTGGCTGGGACGGTGCCTGAGACCTGGGTGCGGGGAGGGCCCCGGGGTTTAGGAAAGAGAAGGGGCGATCGGAGAGCCAGGGTGTTCTGCCTGCTTTCCAGGGGACCCTGGTTGTCGTCAGGCGGCGGTCGACCAGCACCCAGAGATCCCGAGTCACGGGCCCATAGCACCTAAGCCTGAAGCCTGCGTGCCCCCGGCGGTCGCGGATGGAGCATGGTGGTCCAAGTCCGGCGGCAGCCAAGGGGCGCTCAGTCTCCGCTTTGCTGCCTCGCTTTTCGAAGGTACCTAGCCTGTCCTAGGGTGGAGGTTTAAAAACTCCTGAGGAGGTCGCCCGTCCGCCTTGGGGTCGGGCCGCACGTAGTCAGGAGACTGGTCTCTTCTTCCACAGATTCCACCCCCACCCCCAAGGGGCTATGGCGCCGCTGGGCGCCACGGTCACTCTGGCTGAGGCAGTCGGGTGGGGGCTACCCGGCGGCAGTTCGCTTGGCTGTGGCTGCTTGTTTCGCTGGTGCGACCCGCCTCCCTGGACAGAGGTGGGAAGCCGCCTCCGCACTCCGCCCTCCCCCCTCCCCCCAGCGCGTATGGAGTGTCCTAAGCAACCCCTGCTGGTTGGTGCCTAATGTACCATCTGGAAACTTTCCAGATCATCAGGTCTGCTGTTTCCCTCTGACTTAGCCTGCCAGAGGTACCCTCCTGGGCCAATGTGCCTTACCAGCGGAGGGTCTCTCCTTGGAGTGGGAGGGGGCCTGAAATAAAAACCAAACTGGTAGGACTCTTAGAAGTGGATCACTCTGCTCCAGCATCCATGAAGAATGCTGTGAGAATTAATGTGAGTTGCAGGATGCAGTGATCATTCATACTTCTGTTGCACTTGTGGTCCTGGGCCTCCTCCAGCTGCTAGGCCTGAGTGTGGCATGCTGATCCAAGTCCCACGCCACCTTCCACTGCATGCCTGCGCCCCATTCCCCCGCCCCTGCCAGGTTTGCGCTAATGGGGATGTCCTCGTAGGACCTCCAGGCCCTCCTTCCCACCTAAGCATAGACATAGTGGCCCACGCCTTTGAGGTAGATGCCTGCCCCCAGGCATGACGGGAAGGAGGGAAGGAGGCGTCTGTAGGCCGGTCGGCGCGCTTGCGGAGACCCGGCGCCTGGGCTGCCGACAGTAGGGTTGGTGGCCTTCTGAAAGGGACGACAGTGAGAAGGGGTGTCGTGAAGCAATCGGGTGGGAAGGCAGCTCCTCGCCTTCCCCACGCGCATCTCCCTCGCGCGCCTATTCCCTGGACACCGTGAACCCCATCTGGCCGTTCCAGGCGACTCCCGCCCCGCGTCCCGCGACGTAGTCTCTGGCGTGTCTCTCCCGCCCGACCTCACTGCCACATCCTTCGAGGTTAGGTCCGAGGGTTCCGTGGGGCCGAGCACCCCCACGGTCCTTCGTCTCCGTGGCCAGTTACGACACCTTCTCCCCCCCCCCCCCCCGCCGCTTGTGACCCACCAGCGCGTAGCCTCCTGCGCATCTGGCACAGAGCCTCAGGGCTACGCGGCGTGGCTGAGGCTGCTCCCCTGCGGGGGTGGCTTGCCTGCCTGTAGCCCAGCGCCTCTCCTCGCCCTCTGCGCCTCCGGCCTCTCCTCCATCAGCTAGGCAATTTCTCTCTCTCCCCGCGTGTGGCCCTGCTCGCTTGTGCTCGGCTTCTCATTGAAGCCTCTGCTTCCGCCCTCGTGGCTGCGAGGGTGCCTGAGACGTGGGTGCGGGGAGGGTCCCGGGGTTTGGGAAAAAGAAGGGGTGATCGGGGAGCCAGGGGATTCTGCCTGCTTTCCAGGGGACCGGGGTTGTCTGTCGTCGGGCGGCGGTCGACTAGCGCCCAGCGATTCCTAGTCACCGGCCCATAGCGCAGAAGCCTGCGTGCCCCAGGCGGTCTGCAGATGGGGCGTGGTGGTCCAAGTCCGGGTGGCGGCTGTGGGGCACTCCTCCCCTGCTTTGTCTGCCTCGCCTTTTTCAGTTACCTAGCCTGTCCTGGGGCGGAGGTTTAAAGACTCCTGGGGAGGTCGCCCGTCCACCTTGGGGTCCGCCACGGGTAGTCAGGAGACTGGTCTCTTCTTCCCCAGATTCCGCCGCCCCGGCTGAGGCAGTCGGGAGGGGGCTACCGGCGGCTGTTGGCTTGGCCGCAGCCTCTTGTTCCCCTGCTTGCGACCCTCGTCCTGGAGGGAGGAGGGACCCCCCCCTCCCCGCTCCCGACACCCCCACCCCCACCCCCAGCGCCTATGCGGTATCAGAGGCTGCCCCGGCTGGTTCCTGCCTGGTGCCCCATCTGGAACTTTCCAGACCATCAGATCTGCTGTTTCCCTCCTGGGCATCCTCCTGGGTGAATGTGCCTCGCCAGGGGCGGGTCTCTCTTGGGATGGGAGAGGGGATGAAATAAAAACCAAACTGGTAGGACTCTCAGCAGTGGATGACTCTGCTCCAGCATCTGTGAAGAATGCTGTGAGAATTAATGTGAATTGCAGGATGCAGTGATCATTCATACTTCCTTTGCCCTGGGGTTGTGGCCCTGGGGTTCCTCCAGCTGCTAGGCCTATTTGAGTGTAGCTTGCTGATCAAAGGCCTGCACACCCTGCTACCCTAGTGTTGCTCTGCTGGGTTTGTCCTCTCAGGGCCTCCAGGCCCTCCATCCCCCTAAGTGCAGACATGGTGGCCCCTGCCTTTGTGGCAGATGCCTGGGAACGCTGCCCACAAGAGGGAAGATAGGAAGACAGCTTACATACAGGCCCTGGCTGTGGCCTCCGTGATTCGCCCCCCTCGGCAGCTTCCCCGTGCTTCAGGCAGTCTTTTGGGCTTGCCCCTCTGGGATGTCCAGCATGGGGAAAATCTTGCACTCCCTGAGGTGCATGTGGCGCCAATCTGAAGGTGGTCCCCACCCTGCAATTGGCCTAGTCATGTTTTCCCCACTTCCTCTGTGGCTCCCTCCCCACAGTTTTTTTATCTACTAACTGGGGGCTTCCCAGGTTGGACAGCGCAAGGGGGGGTGGGGGGGGGAGGGATGCTTCCCTGGTAGGGGGGCAGAGGCTTCACTCTTAGGGAGCCTGATGACTAAGTGGTAAAGAATCAGCCTGCAATGCAAAAGAGCCAGGTTAGATCCTTCAATCCTTCCATTGGGAAGAGGCCCCAGAGAAGGAAATGACAACCCACTCCAGTACTGCCTGGGAAATCCCATGGACAACAGAGCCTGGCAGGGCTACTGCCCATGGGGTCCAAAAGAGTCAGTCACTTAGCTGAGTGACTAAATATGCAACAATATAAATGTGACCAAGTAGACAAGAGATCAACAAATAATACACCTAAAAAGGAAAATACTTCTTCAATAAACCTCTAGACAGATGCCAAATGACATTAGCTTAAAAATGAAAATTAGGAGATATAATAAGTGAGAAAGCCAGTTTGAAGAAAATTTTCTGTAATAGTAACTTTTAAAAATAGTATACAAACATCCTAAATACTTTAAAATATTTTAGGTAGGTAAGCACATTACCTAAGGACAAATGCATTTGGAAAGTTTGCACCAACCTAGTAAATACTGGATATCTAAGAGTCACGGTGATGGACTCATATAGATGGAAGATGCAGAATGACTTTATCTTCTAAATACACATTTAGAGTGTTTAATATTTTGTAAGTAGCAAAATTTGTTGAGTGAAACACTAGAAAATATATAATAATAAATTGACCAAACATTCACATGTATTTTTAGGTTTTCTTGAAGGTTTATTTCAGTGTGTGTGTATTTTTTGTCTTACACTTCCATCATCCAAAATGTTCACAACTCTTGTGCAGATTTCTCTTCAGCTCATGCAGGAGATGGATTTCTTCTCTTAGGTCGCAGAGACTCAAGAAGAACTTGCTGTTAGGAGAAAGAAAACCCCAGAAAATTCTGCCTGATGCCCTGTCTTCACTCCCTCTCCCTTGCTAAGTAAGCTGGTATGAGACTTACAGAGTTCTGATTCTATCTCTCACAAACAGGGAACATTATGATCCACATTGTCCACATTTTTCAAAAGGAAGCAGCATGACTTTTACCCCTACTATTATTTCAGTGCCCACTAAGCTCTGCTTCCTATGTCCTTTATGCTTTCCATTTCTGTCCCTGGTATGCCCTCCCTGGAATGGGCTGAAGTGTCATGCAGCTGAACTGTCATACAGTTCTTTTTGCAACTTTGATCATCCTTCAGAAAAATCCCATAATATGGCAGAGGGATTTTATTAAAACTATCTGTGGTGGTATCATGTTCATTCAGTAGAGCTCAGTCCCAGTGTCTGCATCTCCATGTAACATCTGAATGACTCTTGACAAGCTCTTATATTTCATTAAGCTTCAGCAGCCTCAGAGAGGGCCAGGACCTGGCGATACTGCATATCAGAGTCCTGATCAGAACACGAGAAAGAGGAGAATATGAAGCAGGAGGCACAGGGCCTGGCATGCAGCAGGCACTGAGTTCCCTGGATTTGTACATACAAGTAACTGGGCCCCAGGCTTCCTGATTCTAGCTAACTGCTTTTGCATGGGTGGCTCAGTTTCTAAGGGTTCAAGTGGGGGTGGGGGGAGGGCAGTAAGAATGGGGAGCTCAGTCTCCTATGGCCCCTAGGGCTCTCCTCTCTCTCCTTGGAAAAGGAACTTCTTTTGAGGACTCATCTTGCTTATGTGGCCCTGACAAGGTGGTTTGGGGACTACTCTTGGTTTCCTTGACCGTTTGCCTTATTTTTCCAAAACCCCATGACTTTATCCTATAGACTCTCCTCACAAACACTCTGAAGACGTGGTCACTGCCCACAAGCCAAACTGGGTGAGTCAGTCACCATGAGGTCTTGACCTTAGGACCCTATATTGTAGATGGGATTGAGGGATCCTCCACACCCCAACCCACAGGACACCCAGTGGACTCCCCTTTACACAGACGATTGTAGTACAACAGCTCAGGTTGATTGTTTTCCACTCTTCTAAGGATGTGGGTTGAGTGAACCCTAACACATATGCCATGATTACATGTGATGAACCTCTCCTCTTGTGGCTAAGGTCATGGTTGTAGAATCCTCCCTTTGCTGAAGGGGAAAGGCTCTAATCATGTGATTCCTTGAGTCTTGCAGAACTCTAGGTTCCTAACTACTCCTTCAAAATCTCTGCACTAAAAGACTTGACTAAACTCAAGCATGGCTTCTAGCAGCTTAAGGCTATGTCCTAGAGATAACCCCAGCCACGCCCCCTCACCTTTAATTGTATCCTTGAAAAAGCTCAATGTTAACAATAGAATTTGCTGTTTGTTCCATCTAAAACTTGGTAGTAGAGAGATATTCCCCAGTACTCACTCTTAGAGTAATTAGATATCTTACAGTTATAATCCTTTCTCTTCAATTTGGGATAAAAACTTTGCCTCAAGGACCTGAGAGTCATCTCTGTGAAGTGCAAACATTCAGGGAGATAACCCTCCCTGTTGTTCCCAGTCCCTATGGAAGGATAAGGCCCTAACTTCAGTGAGCACTTTGTTTCCATTTACACCACTGCTTCCTGCCATGAATACAAGAGAAGACTGTTTCTCTTCCAGATAAGTGAAAGAGTGAAAGTGTTACTCTTACAGTCAGGTACAACTCTTTGCAACTCCATGGACTGTAGCCCACCAGATTCCTCCGTCCATGGTTCTCTCCAAGCAAGAATACTGGACTGGGTAGTCATTCTGTTCTCCAGGGGATCTTCCCGACCCAGGGATTGAACTCAGGCCTCTTGCATTGCAAGCAGATTCTTTACCATCTGAGCCACCAGGGAAGTCCCACATAAGTGCTAATTAGCAAATCCAAGTAGCTGCATCATAGGAACTAACTCCCTACTCCACCCCCATTCAAACACCCCTCAGTGACTTTCCCTTAGCATTCACCCATCAGTAAAAATGTCTCCAACCTTCTTTTCAGGGATTCAAGTTTAGTTCACACTGGAGAGTTTACAAGTTCAGTTCACAGTGGACTTTCTTCCTATATGTTGTTGTTCAGTTGCTCATTTGTGTCCAACTCTTTGCAACTAGTGCTTGGCCTTGTTCATCTTTGATACCTCTCAGGATAAATATTTGGAGAGACGGGAGCATCCCTGGGGTGGAGAGTGTTGGAAATCTTGGGATTCATAATTGGATGACAGAAGGGCAGAGAAATCACCCTTACCTTTGAATCCTCACATGAACCATTCAGGGTCGACTGTATTACTCTCACTGAAGTTTCTTGGTGCTTGATTTATGGCCAAGCATATTCTGGAATGTTCCAGCCCCAGTTGTTATAGGCAATGTTCTACTCTGAATTAATTTTGTCACTCATGTTGTTCAAAACTTCTCTATCTAACTGATTTTTCTTTTGGTCTGTTTTACTTGTAATTCAGTGAGCTGTTAAAATGCCTCACTGTGACTGTGTATTTGATTATTTCACCATTTACTTCTGTCAATTTTTGCTGCATGTATTTTGACTCCTGTGATAAGAAGTGCATAAATTTGAATTGTGTTGTTAATATATTCTTATCAAATCAAATCTTTTATAATTATGAAATGTTTCTTTTCTACTATATAGTTTCTTTAAAGAATTTCTCTCATTGATCTGGTTATAACAATTTGATATCT